AATGAAGGGAGAAATGCAGAAAAAGCGAGAAAAAATTTTGAGATGGAAAGATCATTACGTGATAAGGTTTATATCCCGAAGGTATTTTGGGAAAATACTAGCAAACGTGTATTAACTACCGAGTGGATTGATGGAGTGAAAGTTAACGATCAGAAAGGATTACAAAGGTCGCTTTTTGTCAGAATGTATTTTTAAAAATATGAGGAAAGGAGTGTCATAGTTTTAATGTCTTTTAATGATGAATTTTTTGATCATCTAGATACGGGTTTCAACTCAACGATGTGATGCAGACAGTTGTAAATGCCTTTGCCTCGCAAATATTTAGTAGCGGTAAGTTCTTAAGCTTCTTTCAAAAAGTCAATCATGATTTGAATGAAAGATATTTAAAATTGTTCTGATGCAAAATATAGGATTCGTCCATGGTGAGTCATTATATTTATCATTATGACGTATTTAATAGCTTAATTCATTTCTAAGCGTGAACATCATCTTGCAGCTGATCCTCATCCTGGTAATGTTTTTGTGAGACCACATCCAAACAAATCAAAGCGGCATCATCAAATAGTACTCTTAGATCATGGTTTGTATGTGGAAGAATCTGAGATGTTTCGTCATCAATATTGTTTATTTTGGAAGGCGGTAAGCAAGATTCAGAATTTGCGTGTCTTTCTAAAAATGTGCGTATCATTTAGTATTATCTTACATATTTAGTTATTCCTCATGGACAACGAAACAATAAATCAAATTTGCAAGGATTGGGGAATCGCTGAAAGTGAATTGTTTATTAGTTCACAGATCATGTAAATCGACGTCCCAATTACTGTACACCTAAAAACGCTTTCTTGCCGTCATTTTTAAACGTTCATTGCTTATTTCAACAGGAAACCATATAACCCTCAGACAGCACTTCATATTTCATCAACACAAACGGTCTCACTCAAGGATACGTATGAAATGCAAATGGCGGTGAAGGATCGTATAAAACAATTTCTAACGGACACCGAATTAATTCCTAGAGAATTGATATTTATCGGTAGAAATATGAACATAGTGAGATCTCTAAATCGAGAATTAGGAAGTCCAGTGAATAGA